GTTTGAAGCCTGAAAACTGAAGCGTAGAGCATACTCGTACCTGTCGCCCTCTGGCGACTGACATATGACGCCTGCTCCACCACCATTTGAAGTAGAGCTTCCATCCACATATACCTTCCATACTTGGTCTGGAACTTGAGAGTCAGGAGGACGAGTCATCTCTACAATAAAATCAGCAAAGGCTTGCCCCTTCACTGCTTTTCTAGGCTCGAATGTAACTTCGAGGCTCTGTATTTCTATGGCCCATTTGATCATTCGGCCTGACGACTCCATGATGGTCAGTGGCCGCTTGATAGGTTGGTCTGTATACACGACGACTGCATGTGCCAAAAAGTAGGGCTTCAATTTTTTAACAGCCATGAAGAGTGCAAGACCAAATTTCTCCACTAGGGGATACCTCAACTCGGCATTTTTCAGTACGTGACTGACAAAGTAGACCGGGAGCTGACAGCCGTCCCTTTCAGCAAGGAGAACAGCGCTTAACGCATGAGTAGAGACGACCAGGTACATGTAGAGAACCTCTTTGGGCAAAGGGCTGACCAGCCTCGGCAAGGAATGCAAGTGAACTTTTAATTTCTGGAAGGCGGCCTCAGCATCCGGCCCCTATTCAAACCTTGCCTTTTTCTTAATTGCCTGGAAAAAGTATAGGCATTTGTCGCCTGATCGGCTTAGAAATCTTCCCAAGGCCGCCAGACAACCTGTTAACTTCTGAACCTCTCGGATGGTACGAGGCGACTGCATGTCAATGACCGCCTGCACCTTCTCAGGGTTCGCCTCTATTCCTCTCTGATTGATAAGGAATCCGAGAAATTTCCCAGACTCAACTCCAAATACACATTTCTTGGGATTGAGCATGACATGGTGCCGCCTGAGTGTGGCGAAAGTTTCTCGGAGGTCCGACAGATGATCTTTCTGAAGTTTAGTCTTGACAATCATATCATCAATGTATGCCTCGACGTTTCTCCCAATCTGATCAAAGAACACAGTGTTTATCATTCGTTGGAAGGTAGCCGGGGCATTCTTAAGACCAAACGGCATGACCGTGTAACAGTATAACCCCTGATCAGTGACGAAGGTCGTCTTCTCCTGATCTTTCTTCCATAAAGGAATTTGATGGAAACCAGAATAGGCGTCCATAAAACTCATCAAGGCATGGCCGGCTGTTGAGTCGACCAGGTTATCAATTTTAGGCAGAGGGTAACTGTCTTTGGGGCACGCCTTGTTTAAGTCTGTGTAGTCTACACACATTCGCCAGGTGCCATTCGGCTTTTTAATAAGCACCACATTTGCAACCCAGTCTGGGAAGTAACATTGCCGAATGAACCCTGCATCAAGTAATTTTTTAACTTCAGCGGCTGCCGCTTGACTTCTTTCTTCGCCATGGTTCCGCTTCTTTTGCCGTACCGACTTCTTTTTCGGATCCACGACGAGTTTATGTACCACCAGATCAGGACTAATGCCTGGCATTTCATGGACTTCGAATGCAAAGATGTCCTTGTATTCTTTCAATAGGTTGTGAAAGTTGTCACCAAGGTTTCTCAGAGCAGTCGTCCCAACTTTGACTGTTCGGTCAGGACGTGAGTCGTCTAAGATCAGGTTCGCATGCTCACCAGCCGGCTGAGGGCGGAACTCATCCGGCCGCTCCTCTGCCAATGATTGCTATTTTCTTGCTTTTCTTGCGGCCCCTGTCTGGGATGCCTTTCTCTTTTTGCCGCCTGCTTCTTGAACAGGCGCACTCTCCTTGTCAAGGTCTGTTTTTTCACCGCTTGACCCAGTAGCCATAACAGTGGGCTTGACATCCGAGAGATAGCACTCTCGGGCCATCCTCTGATCTCCCCTTAGGGAGCCGACTATTCCATTATCCCTCTCAAACTTGAGCAACATAAGAGACGGGATTATAACAGCCTTGGAATTATTCAGGGTAGGTCGACCCAGAATCATGTTGTAGGCCGAGAGTTCCTCTACTACCAGGAATCGGACTACCATGTGTCGTCCTTCCCCTTTTTCGCCCAGGCGGATGGGTAAATCTACTCGTCCCAGTGGGTGGACGACTCCTCCTCCAAACCCTACTAAAGGGTGGGAGGCCGGATGTATGCAATCAGTCTGATATTTTAGTTTCGACAGACATTTGCTACTGATGAGATCTGAGGAGCTTCCGGTATCTATGAGGATTCGGCCAACTCTCTGGTTGACCACTTTACATTCAATAACGAGAGGGTCGTCATGCGGCCCCCTTACCCCTCCTAGATCTTCTTCAGTAATGACAATCTCAGGAAATGAATATTTGGACGACCGTTCTTGGTGAACGGAATTTACATCTAACCGCCTGATATTGTCTTTGTTGCCCCTAATAGTGGGGCCGCCTCCTGAGAAGCCTCCTGCAATGGTGTAGACGACTGCATCATCTGTATCAGAGCTGTCGGCCTGTTGATTCTTTTTGGCCGACTGCTTTTTCGAGGAAGTGTTCCCCGTAGATTTCTTGACATAAGTGTCAAGATCACCTTGCTCAGCCAGGCGGTCTAGATACCGCATGAGACTGATGCAGTCATTGGTGTGATGACCAACATCATCATGATAAGCACATAATTTATCTTGGTTCCGGTTGTTTGCAGAACCCTTCATGGGGACCGGCTTCTCAATTGAGATCCGTCCCTTGATTTCTTTTAGGATAAACTGGTTATCCTTGTTAAACGCATACTTTGGGGAGTATGGTTTGAATTCTTTTTTCTTTTTCTGGGCCGGCTGTTTAGAGGAATCAGCCGCCCAAACCTCTTTTCTTTTCTCATCTTTGTTAGACGACTGTTTCTGTCGTCCTTCTCTTTTGTCGAACCTTTTCCCATCCGACTGTTTTATCGTACAAAGATCAGTCGCCTGTATATAGGCTTCTGCTTCAATCAAGGCCTCTTGAAGAGTCGCCACCCTTTTTCGAACCAAATCAAATTTGAAGGTAGACCCGTCTTTGAGACCTCTGAAAAAGTCAGTATAAGCTACCTCATCCGGTAACCCTTGAATCTGTATTCTCATCAGGTTAAATCGCCTGATGTAAGAACGAAGCCCCTCCTTCTCGCCCTGCTGAATTGTTCCCAAATCAAGGGTCGTTTTCTTCGCAGGGATGTTCATGGCGAAGTTGGAGGCAAATAAGTAAGCAAGCGTCCTGAAGCTATTTACACAACCAGTCGGCAGGTTGCCGAACCATTGCTGTGCGATTCCTTTGAGAGTCGCTGGGAAACACTTGCACCAAGTGGGATCATCCAACCCTTGAAGGTACATCAGGTTGGTGAATGCCATCAGATGGTCTTCTGGGTTAGTAGTGCCGTCATAGGCGCCTACTAGTACATTTTTCACTTTGGCCGGCTGAGAGGCTTCAGTAATTTCCTTGGAGAAGGCCGACGGCTGTTCACCAAGTCTAAGCAACTGTAGCTGCCAGTCCATAGGTTGGACGTTTTTTGCTGCAGGTCCACCAAACGGAGGTGGCTGCAAAAAATACTGTTGTTGCGGCACAAATGGTAAGTTTGGTACCGCCTGGTCACTATGAAAGCCGGACTGACGGGAGGTGCCGCCTGACTAACTCTCATGGTACGAATGAGTATGCCTCATCGAGGCATTTCGCAAACTGTCTTGAAAGTTTGAAGTAGAGGCCGACTCTGACAATCGGTCACTCTTCTTCTGCTCTAGCAGTAGCCGAGCATCTGTGAATGTTTGCTTCGACCCGTCCGCCTGAATATGACGAACAGGTTTCCTATTTCCTGTAGGATAACAGAATTTTGTGAAATCAAGGGCAGGTGGCTCCTGCTTCCTAGATTTAGGATGAGGAGTCGCCTCTCGCCCTTGAACTGGCTTCCTCTTCAGTGAAGTGGAGGGTTTCTTGGCCGACTGCTCCTTGACTGGAGCAGGCGGCTTCTTGTTGATCAACTCTTGAATCTCTCCCTTAAAGTCCCTCATGAAGGTCATGAGTTCGTTCCTTATGATGGGAGCAGACCCATCAGTCGGCTATTGCCGAACAGGCGGTGCGCCTGCTGGCTCGCTTCCTGTTTGAAGATGCTCCCGTTCCCTCCTTTCGGTATGACGGGTACGTCGGGCCCTTAGGGTCCCGTCTGAAGCTGTATGAGCTTCAACTTCAAATTCACTTTCGGTATCATGGTCCGACTGAACTTGAGGGTCGTCTAGGGGACGCCTCTCTTCAGGAGTCGGTACAGACTTGGATGCCATCTCAGAAGTACTCTCCCCACAGACGGCGCCAAATGTTTCGGGGTTTTCTGATGTCCTGCGGGAGAGTTACAATTCCGAGACTGGAACCGGACGCCTGTACCTGCAAAATAACGGAGACTCCTGTGAGCTCCGCCTCCAACGGTCAAGTTAGTACCTGATTAAGGAGTAATTAATGCGGAAATTAAAGTGATTTGGTCTCTCTAGGTGAGAGTGTTTAATGTAGGTAATCTGCTTTGTTAGCGAGATCAGCCGGTTATTACTATGTGTAATTAATGTGTTTTTTCCGTAATGTTTCTGTTCTCTTTTTGTAATTCCCCTTAATGAGGATTAAGGGAGGTATTTATAACCTTGGGAAACGTGCCCATCCTAGGTTTAGGTAAACCTAGGGCCGATTGGGCTTCCCTCGGAAGTTGGGCCTGGGTGGCCGGTTTCTCCATTAGGCATGGAGTATGCCACATGTCTTGACATAACAGGTCCAAGGTGGACGAATAAGCGCGTGCCACGTGGGAAGCCCTGACTGTTCCAACTGGGGGACACTTGGCTGGACCTGATTGGTCCACGTGGCGCATTCCGATTGGTGGGAGCAAAATCCCCTAATCACATCTAATTACTTCAACCAATTCAGATGCATGCAGAATTTAGTATGAAAATAGCGAAATTAAATATGTTAATAGGCGAATTCAACATCAAATTAAGAAATTATCAACAAGATCAGAGAGAGGGAATTAAAACCCTAATTTTAGCCACTCAAATTCATGTTGATAATGAAAGGGAGAGGAAACAAAACTAACCCCAACCCTAACTTTAAGGTGAAAGCCACCAAGCGAGGATGGAGGCAAGGAGGTGGCAACTGCTGTCTTTGGGGGTGGCAATCGTTGTCCCTTTAACTTGGAACACGAGGCCGTTGGGTACGTATTCAAGTTGGAGCACGAGTTGCGATGGAGGGAGGCTGCAATGGACGGGGCTATAGTGGAGCAGCGGGAGCGAGATTGGGGCAGCGGTGGAAGCCGAGGAAATCTTGGGGGAGGAAGAAAGTTGGGAGACAACCAACAGTGAGGTTATGAGGGTCGATCTTTTGACAAGACGAAGGGTGTATTTTTTTATTTTCTATAAAAAAATATTGGTAAAAAAATATTGGATTAAAAAAAAAAAAAAAAAATTGATCATATCAAATTAAGTGTTACAACCAAGTGCTACCAAATATCAAAGTGTTACAATAAAGTGTTACATAATATTAAAGTGCTACTAAAAATGTTACCTAATACCACAATGTTACAAAAGTGTTACCTAAAAATCAAACAATCATGAAATTTTTAAAGTGTTACCAAAGGGTGTTACTTAAGCCCAATTTTTTACTAGTGACAATAGATGAAGTTCCTGGATCGAATTGAAAGTAAGGTGTGCCTCAGTCAAAGACTTGAGCTTTCCCATTGTATCATGAATGGCTATAAGTGAGGCATAGGAAAACAAACTTAGTTCCTCAAGGCTTGCCAAAGATCCAATAGAATCAGAAAACTCTTTAATATTAGTATGAGAGAGAACTTTTTCAAAGATATAAGAGACCCTAAATTTTCAGGCAGCCTTGTAATCCGATAACAACCTTGTAGACTAAGCTCATCAAGCTGTATAAGGTAAAATAGATTTTCAGGTAGCTTAGAAATTTCTGTTTCATTGAGATGTAGTTGGATCAATGATGTCATGCGGTATTCCTCTAATAAACTTTGTGCATTTAGATAGGATTAGCTACCTGAGACCTTTCATCCATCCGCGTCACATCATTTGGAAATTCAACCAAATTTGAGAATTTTATTATACTCAAGTGAACTAGAGATCTCGTGTTTTTAATTGACTCGTGATTCTTAGTCTTATACAAAGCTCAAGCATAAGCATTTTCAAATGTCGATGCAGACATGTTAGGAAAAGCTGTAAGGAAAGGGCAACTATAGAGCGATATTTATCACCACCAATTAAGTTCCCAACCATCTGCAAGCAAAGAAGTTACCAAACTTATAACAAAATGATGATTTTATGGGGAGCAAGCTCCTATCCTAAGGTGAGGTGGTCTACGTAAAGTTAAAACTAGGAGGCGCATACTATGTAACGACACTGGCCACTTCAATGTGACATTTACCTTGTTGAAATCCGGACATGACTGATTTGAGTACCACAAACGTTCTACACTGCTTTCCGAAAGATCAAGCACACGAATTTGCTATGCTCTGCTCTGTAGTGTTGGAAGCTCTCCTCTGCTAACCTCTGCTCTGCTCTGCCTAGAAGCTCAAAAGAACAGGGCCTAACTATTGCACCCACCTTAGCTCGGAGGACATATAGTTAAAGTTTCCTTGCAATTTACATAATATAACATAATAATCTAATAATTCCTTTTTTTAAAATTTTTTTTAATAATTGCCCCATTTGGGATATATTTAAAGTTTCCTTGCAATTTACATAATACTCTAATACGAAGTAATTTTTTTATTTTAATTGTACCATTTGGGTTGGGAGTAAAGACTTAGAAAGAAATAAATAACAAAAATGCCTGACTTCAATTCCACAAACAACAAATGTGACTATTGGTAGGATATGTATTTGCGTGTGAAAACTAACGAAAAATGTATAAAATCATACCCAAAATAGTAATAAGGTGTAGACACCTACTTTTGGCCTCCTGTTCTAACGAGAAGTGCGATGATGTTACAAAGACCCGTTCTTCATGCTAGATCAAAGTTGAAGTGTTTATGGACTCCGAAATGCATTATGAAGTAAGTTAAAACCCGTATTTGAGACCAATTCATCTTAGAGCCTAGTCTGATTAGTAATTAGGCCTAAAACGTGCTCATACATGTTTAACCTTGATTAATAACATACCTAAATGCGTCAAATGCAATGATTTGATCAAATGGATCTTACATTGTTAAAAATCAAGCCAACCAGAATATTTAAACACCAAATATCCATTCAGGTCCTATACAGCTGGATAGACCTTGCAAAGAGCTTTCCAATGGTATATTATAAGCCCAATTTCAAGTTAAAACGAAGAAGTTATCATCAAAATACTAAACCAGGCCCTAAAAACAACACCCTTGCACTCAAACGGCCATATCTTTTGATCCATAACATATTTTAACCTACTTCTAACGGAATTGAAAATTAGACATTCAGAGATTTCCAATGGTATCTTATTTGCATTAATCCGACTTCACAATCAAAAGTTATAGAAGTTTTAAAAACGCGTTTTCGTATAAGGCAAACCGCACTGCGTGCAATCTAAGAGTTGCGCTCGGCACTCCAGCACGACTCTGAGAGTTGCGCGCGCCAATTGACGCCGCTGCTCTTAAACCCTAAACCTAGATTCCCACGCCTATAAATAAGGGTCTTCGCTTAGACCTGAAGACAACAGAAAAATCAGAATTAAAACCCTAGCATTGTGAAATCCCTAATCTCTCAAACCCTCTTACTATCATATTGCTTTTCTCCTCTCTTCCCAAATACTCTCCAACCCTAATTGATTCCATTGAAGCCTTGGAGGTACGAAGAAGAAGGAAGGTCCATAAACATCCAAAACAAAGATCTAGCAAACAAAGGAGAATAGTTAGTTTCTTGAGCATTTAGATAAATCACATTTTTTTTCTTGTTTAAATAACTTTAATTAATTAATTAGTGTTGTTTGATCACTTTAAATAAACTTTAATTAATTAATTTCACATAGTATTCTTGCGTTAATTAAAGACTAGAATTGAATAATTAATTGTTGTTTTATCACCTAAGTCAAGGCGAATCTTGTTTATTAATTGTTCTTTTCACGAATTTGGAATAAATAAGAATAACGACAATCGTTGCAATGTTATCTGTATGTGATTGACACGTGTAAATAAAATAAAGTAACTTAGTTTTAGGTATCATGTTACATACATTGTTTGGTGATTAAATTGTGAAAAAGGAAGAGCTAATAGAGGCCGCACTTGGGCTAAAATAGGGATTTCCCCCTAAAGGAAGCGTTATTTTAGTACCCTCGCTCCCGTACTCAATTCTGGTACAAGTAAACCAATTTGGGCATGGGTAAACTTATGATTCATGCTATTTATCCCTTGAACTCTATTTTAGGAGAAAGGCATGAACGAGGTTTATGAGTTTTTCTAAAACTCATTGGCGACTCCTTATTAGTTTCTTACAAAAAAGCGTGATGATAGAATCAATTCTAATTCAAGGTCCCCCAAACAGCCAAGAATTCAAATCCTAACACACCTTCAAAAGTGTAAAGTCCTAGGCTTTTAAAAGGGCTATGGGCATAGAGGAAGTGGGATCCCCAACGATGGGCTACCCTCCTCACAGTGGCGACTCCACTGGGGACTTAGAGGTTACAAGATTAGTTTTTGGTTATGATTCAAGGTTTCCAACTTAGGTTACCTATGAGTTGTAACGAAGGCTAACTTGGATAATCTCTAGTTAGAGAGCGAGACTTAAACGCATAATTTCTTCCTTTTTCACAAAAGTAAAAACCAAATAAGCAACATTGCATCATGCATAATCATAGCACACTTTAACCATTGGGGATTGGCTCATTGACTAGGGGTCACCAACACTAGGCTTCTATCCCGAAATCAATAACAATCATCCCACCCATATCGCCAACAAAATGTTGGGAGAATCATGACATGGGTCAACACGTTGAGTGATTGATTCGTGCATCGTTCTTAAGATATGGTACCTTTGGACACACAAGCCTTGACCATAGAATGGCATTGTATGCTTTGACGGTTCCTTTTATGTGCTTATGTGACTACATAAATATGTGCTTATATGCTTCGTGTCTAATCTAATTAATTTCAACTTGTTACTTAGAGATATTAAAAAATTCGAAAAAAATGTTGTTCGACAAAAAAAAAAAAAAAAAAAAAGAAAAAAAAAAAATCGAACCTGCCAGGTGGCGCGTGTAACTGTCAAAGTTGCGCGTGCCCTCCAAGCGCAAGTCAAGAAGTTGCGCGCGACTCTTCTGCGCAACTCTGGTTCTTGCGAGCGCTCACTGTTCAATGTTAATTTTGACTCATTACGAGCAATGTTATACGGAGAGAACGATATTACCGCTTCAAGGTTAACCGTTAAGTAGGTGCTAATAATATCTCTTTGGCTAACAAGGTTGTCTAACTTAGTTGCTTTTACTTTGTTCATCTTTTCTTTTTTTGAAAAAAAAAAAATCCAAAAAACATGTCTTTTATCGTTCTTTTATTTTTGCGTTTTCGAAAAAAAAAAAACGTTATCTTTTATTTTTGCAAAAAAAAAAAAAACAAAAAAAAAAACGCATGTGGCAGGCGCTACTCTCGACGTTGCACTCTCCACGTTGCACTCTCCACCTTAGTGTATGACGGAAAATTGTGCGCGATACTATTTTCGATTATGATGATTTGTTTACGTACTTTTTAATCGAACTAATGACATTACTTCTTATAAGGTTCGTCATTAGAAGTTCGCATCCCTTAATAGGACGTCATCAATATTCCCATTCTTAAACGTGCCTATTTCGTGGTCGTCATCTTTTAGTTGTAATTAATCAACCTTGATTTAAGAGTATAATTTATTTACCTCTTTTTTATGCTTTAAAAAGAAAATCCCGAGAACCTTGGGATGATTGCCTCACAAAAAAAAAAAAAAGAGAAATAAAGCGGAAAAAAAAAATCAAGGAATCGTTCTTAAAAAAAAAAAAAAAGAGTATGATACAAAAAGAAAAAAACTCAAATTTTTTTTTTATTATTCTAAAAAAAGAAAAAGAAAAAGAAAAAGAGAGAGAGAGAGAATAATGAATGATAAATCAGAGAAAATGATTTAATTATTTCTTGGGTTTTACGTTCAGAGGCAACCATTCTATTTAAACTTATAGCATACCTTTAAAGATGAGTAATATGAGAATCTTAAAAAAATAAAAAAATAAAGATCTCTATTGTAATCTAAATGATCAACAAATACCACATTCTAGTATATTGATCTTTTTGAGGAGTGCATTAAGGTTGATTAATATTTCTAAAAATTTGATGAGCATTTCAATCTAACTTTCCTTTTCTTTCTCTTCTACCATTTTAGAAAACAGTTCACCTAAAGTAAAATCCTTAGATG